CGAATTTACAAACTCTACCGCCGCGTATTTTCTAACATGCAACACCTTTATAACCTTAAGGGGCGGATCCCCCTTAAGTTCAGGGGGGCAATTCCCCTAAAAAAATAATTTAAAAAAAATTATTATATGATTTTTTAGACAATTTGTTTATTTTCATCTATTTTTTAGTTTTTATTTCAAGAATTTTTAGGTAATTGCCCCCACCTCCTAAAAATTTTAAAATACTATGATCTTTAGGCAATTGTCCTAGCATAATTAAACACATTGTATATAGGTGTTATTGTTAGGGAATGATGAACCAAATAAAAAGAGAAATAGTAAAGAGAATTCATCATTTTATTTATTAATTTGAACTCCAAAAATATCCTTACAAACAAAATTTGTTCTGGGGGCGCTGCCCCCAGAAACCCAGGCAAAGTCGCTGCCCGGCCCCTTGACTCCACGACCTGATCGAGCAGGTCGAACCCCGCCAGGGGGCACTGCCCACTTGGACCCCCGACATATGTGTGAAGCGTACGACGATCAAGGATATGAACAAATAGGGATCGAGCCAAATTCAAGGGAACTTCAACATACATTTTGTAGAAATTAAATGATTAATTATTTTTAATGACCATTTTTTTGTCTCTATTTTTTTGCCACTGTTGACCAATTTTATTGTAGTGAAGGATCGAGCCAAATTCGAGGCAACACCAACGTACAATTACTTATAAATTTGCTCATTCTCGTACTATCGGCTTCTTAAGTCTTAGATTCCTCTTAAAACTAAATGTTTCAATCTATCTGTGCCAAGTAGAAGGGAAATCTACCAACATGCATTATTAGAGGAAAGATCATTCATACAAGCAGCAAAGGTCTTGCCAAAAAGGGGAAAATTGTTCATAGCAGGCATTCCTTGTGCACCATCAACAAGGTTGAAAAATATCAACCAACAAAACAATGTTAAAAAATCTGAAGTATCTCAAATCTTTTGTAGTTGGTAACAATCTCTAAGCAAAATAAACACTCAATTGCTCATTTTCAAAAGGAACAAGCAACCAATGTTTTCTCTAAGGTGAATTGAAAGCATCTCAAAGAGAAGTACTAATCATCATAAAATGATATCACTATCAAATTAAAGCGTAGTATGAAATGAAGTACTTTTTTGTTAGAAGTGCAGAAGCAAACATTTTCATCAGTTATCATCTTTTAAACCTTCCACCTACTACCAGCTTTATCATGATCTTTACCATCTCTAGCCTCACAATGATTCCTTTATTTTGAATGCAATTGTGAGAGGAGCCCAAGCCGACGACTCTGGCTGGATATAATTCTCGCCGTCGTTGGAGTTTCATTAAGTAGAACCTCATATCCATCTTTTAAAGAGTCCATGCCTTCAACAAGGAGCTGCCAAAAGAGGCTTCCTGCTGCTGCTCCTCCTGTTCTTGCAGAATCGTAGATTTTAGAGTACACTGCTTGAAAAAGATCATCTCTTTTGGAGCAGTTATACCCAGGATCCTTACAGGTTTTGCCAAACTCAGTTACAAGAAGCGGCTTATTGAGAATGTTACTGGAATCTCTTATGTGGGCATCAAGCGTGTTGTTCAAGAATTGGAGCTGGGATTGATCACTTGAGTTTGTTAACCTGACAATGGCCTCAAAGATCAATCACAATAGCAATAAAGTTGGATTGTAGGACAAAATGATAAAATTTGTAATGAAAACTACTGCAGAATATCTTCTATTGCTCAAATTAATGATATAAGTATATAATTTAAGCTCCACATATGATCTAAGAATACCAAACAAAAGTTATGCAGGTTGGATTTATACTTCTCATTTGTATCAAAATTGTGAATTATTATGTAAGGATAGAACTTTACATTTGGTCTGGATATGTATGGAGTGTGGCGAAATCAATTCCTGAAATCTGATTATTGGAGATAAAGTCAGTTCCCAGCTGGAACCCAGGATTTGTTTGCAAGCCAGAAGATGATGAGGGCCCATAAAACCCTTCCAAGCCAGCTTCAACCAAGTGATTACTATCTATGGATTTTACATGAGCGGCCATTTCAGTGATCCATGCCTGGAATGAAAAAGCAAGAGCTAAATGAGGATGATTATAGGTCATGTTACACAAAAGATTATCAACTTACAGCCAAAGGGACCGGCTATTAAAACAGGATATTCTGAGTTTTAAAACAATCCCATCTCTTAAAAAAATAGAAAAGCAGTATTTTTTTTTGGAGAAATTCGTTGAGCTTTCAAAAATATTTAATGTAAGAAAATCAAAAGATGATTGCACAGGGCAAGCTTTCCATGCAAGTAGTGATAGGCTTGGTTTGGGATGGCTTTCTTACTGCTTCATATAGTAGCTTTTAAGTACAATTTTTTTTTTATTTTTGTATTAAAAAACAGTTTTAAGTAGTAAGAAAACCGTCTCAAACGAAGCCATAGCGTTATATTAACTCGGTGGGATCGAAAAAAATTATCTTTCAAGCTGATGAATGATGCATGCATTGTTATCAAACAACTCTAATTAAGGCTTCATTTAGGACAACTTTAGACCACGTACAACTTTTTCAATGCTTTCTAGAGATTTTTTACTTTAAAGTAGTTTTTCAAACCAGTAAGAAAGTCATCTCAAACGAAGCCTAAGGCTTTAGGCTTCTTTTGGGACATCTTTTGGTCCCTACTTTTTTGTTGGCTTTAAGAAATTTATATACTAAAAAATTGCTTTAAAAATAATAAGAAAATTGTCTCAAATGAAATCAAAGACTGTCCGCACCCCTGTTTCTAGAGAAATTATTCCGCACGGAGTCCAAACGGTAAAGAACCGTTCGAATGTGAGTACACACGTTGTACACTGAGTATAATTTTATATATATATATTAGTTTTTTATGTACAGTGTGTACAAATACTATGTACACTCACATCCGGACAATTCTTTATCATCTGGACTCCGCATGGAATAATTTCTCTAAGGGTATAAATCTCAAATTTGAATCTAACGTACATATTTGTTTTAAAATTCCCTGCTATACGGAATTCAGAAATTTATAATTGTCCTTTTTATAATCAATAAATTTATTTGAAATCGATTGCTATTCTTATAGATAAAACATAATACAAATTTAAAATAGAAAATAATGATTTTTTTCACAAAACGATAGACAACATTATGTTTGGTCACTGTGGTCTGGTGAATAATTTGCATAATGAACGTCACACAACTCTTCTTGGCCTATTGGTTGAGAGCTTAGGCTTCCAACTAAGAGGTCCAAGGTTCGAGTCTATGTGTATGCGTTGTGTGTGTGAGTTTGCCTTAAATGGCCTAAATGTCCCAAAAAAAAAAAAAAAATTTGCATAATGAACTGACATGCAATACTTTATCAGCTTTGTCAGAGATTTCAATTTTTTTAGAAGGCGGAATTCCCTTACCATGAATAAGAAACAGTTATTATGATATAAAAAGCAAAAATGTGTATACAATTCATTACATTTTAATTTTTTACTAAAAAATTATTCTCAAGAAGAAGCAGTAAGAAAATCATTCCAAACTAAGCCAAACTTAAGTTTTAATATTTAATTTTTTTTGCAACAAAGCACTCTGGAAGCTAATTAGACAGTAAAGAAGTAGTTTTTACCTGTATAGTCCTCCCAGACGCATCTGAAGGGCATCTGGGCTCATTCATCAGCTCCCATGCAAAGATTGTAGGGTCATTCATATAAGCAACTCCAGTTTGAGCGTTGTATCGTGTGATCAAGGTCTTCTCATTAGGCATGTTTGTACAGTGATTAGCATCAAATTATAGCATTTAAATTTTGAAGTATCATATCAAGATTTCCTTAAGATGAAAAAATAAACACCAGGTCTAAATGATTATGATTAATAAGAGCATAAATTTTATGTGATTCTTTATGATAAAACAAAAAAAGAAGGGATTTATTGAAGAATGAATATTGAAATTTGAAAAATTAGCAAGATGAGGAGATAAAAATGAAGACTTAAACGTGAAATAAGGGATAATTACACAAAAAGAAGAGCAAATTTGGGATGCTCTGAAATTATGAAAGAAATTATGAAAGAACTCTTGGGTCAGTGATTAAAATAGATAGCACCATTGGTTTTAGTTCGAGTTATATTTTTTATCAATTATTTCTCATCATTAGCCCACATTAAAATTATTAATGACTTTGGTTTCGTTTGAGACAGTTTTATTATTGTTTTTAAAGTAATTTTTTAATACAAAATTTTAATTTTTATAATAAAAAACTATTTTAAGAAGCATTAATAAAGTCCTTCCAATCAAAGTCTTAAACTTCATTTATGACAGCTTTTTTACTGTTTTTTTAACAACTTTCTACAAAATTTCTAATTAAAAAAAATTGTAAAAAAATTATGTTAAAAAGGGTAAGAAGTCACAGTAGAAAGCACTTCAAGCAAATGAAAAAAAAAAAAAAAAGATCATGAATGTTCTGCAGACCTTAACATGATTCTTGTAGTATCCTTTAACAACGCTATTGCTAAAAAACTCATCATCAGATCCAATGTTCTCTCCCTGATTCTTTGCCCACTGCACGTACTGCTTCTTCCCTCCAAAGTTATCATAATTATTCACTAAGCTAAGAATAAGCCTGATACCATACCTTCTTGCCTCGCAAATCACAAAATCCAAGCCCTAAATCAAAGCAAATTCAGTTAAAAAACAAAAATGAAAGGGACAAAAAGGAAAAAGAGAAAGATCTTTCAAAATCCAGAACCTTGAACATTTGCTCATTGTAAGATCCAGGAGAGTATTGCAATGCATTGCTACCACCGTCATTGAAAGCCCAGGTTCTGGCTACAGTGAGTCCATTAATCGAAGCTTCTTTGAAGGCAGTGGAAACTTTGTCTCTCTGAGAGGGATCTGATGCCATGTTCATGAGCCAATATGCATTGAACCCATTCACAAAGAGTGGGTTACCATTAAGCATAAAATGGACTCCATTCGTCCTGATGAAGCTCTCTGCTGCTTCAGCGTGCCGATTCTGACCAAAGAGAAGAATCAGGAAAACTCCTAAAACAGTAATTACTCTCATCATCTTAACCTTCACTCGTCTGTGAGGAGCAATGTGTAAGGTCTTCAACAGACCTAATTCTTTATATATAGTAGATACGGGAAGCGGAGTTTTTGATGCGCCTGCGTGTGAAAGGAGGATTTGCAGATAGTTTCTCTACTTTGAGATAATTCTTCTATGCTTGTGTGCCAATTTATTGAGCGCTCTCAGTCTTCAAAGCAGAAGAACATCTGCACATCCAGCTCTGTATTCATTTGACATTTAAATATATAATTATATACTTACTAGTTTTCCTGACGTAGAAATATGCTTATAGTCATCACCTAATAAATTTTTTTTTGTGTGGAATATTCGCAGTTAGCTGACTTATGGAATGGGTTGGCTGAAAACTCTTAAACACATATACAATTTTCAAAATCTTCATATTATTGGCCGGGGAGTTTTAGGCGAGAGTTATAAATATTTTTTTTGAGTTTATATTTTCATTTTATATTTTACTATTATTATTGTTATATATTTATAAATGAAAAAATAATGAGCAAAATAATTGTCTGATGCAAACACATCTTATAGATTTTTACTTTTAAATCAACATAAAAGTTATTTATGATTATAAAAGTTGCTCTGAGGAAAATAACTTCATTATCATGATTACATAAAGTAGATTTTCGCTACAAAAATATATGAAAAAATAGCAAAAAAAAAAAAAATAACAATAAAATAAAATTATAATTATTGTCTGAAAAATAAATCAACAAGAAAGCTATTCCAACTAGACTCTTATATTGTTAAATCACATACTTCTTTAAAAATTTGCTAGAAAAGTATCCTAATTTTCTAATTTTTATGTGGTACTTTGTATTAATTTTTAGTTATGTATGGGTTAATTTACTCTATTTTAAAATTTTAATTATATAAGAAGCTCAATATTTTAAATTTAAATATCTCATTATTTTGGTATGCGCTAACCATAAAACTTCTAATTTCTTTCTCATGAAGGAATCACATGACTCTCGTCATCTTGAATGATGGAATCACATGACTCATCTTGAATGGTCTCTTGAGCAAGCATCGCCATCTCTAGATCTTTGTGGAGAAAAAATGACAACTATTTAACATTATAAAATTATCATTAGTTATTACATGTATATGTGACCATTAAATTTATAAAATAAGCACATATTTTGATGCAAGTATGCAAACAAAAAAAATTCATAGTTGATTTAACAACTATTGGAGATTCATTCCTTAGTAAATTTATAGTTGAAACAAACATGTTAATGAAAAAAAGATTCAAAGAAATCAACTGCATTGATCTGAGACAAAATGATAAAAAATAAGAACACGAAGCATATGTGAAAAAAGATTCAAAGAAGCACAATTTTCAGGAGTCATCTACTCAAACATATGAAATTATTAAATACCCTATTACAGCATGGTTCAAGTTACCTGCTATTGACCCTTATGATGGGTCATCTGATTTTTATGAACATATTGATCATTATATAACTATCATGCATGTACATACAGTGTGCTTCATAACACGCTTCTTTCCCAAAATTTCAATGCTACCCTTAAGGGTCTAACTCATACATGATTTTATGCTCCCCCTAGAAGTATAATCCAAAATTTCACTTATCTTACAAAGTTTTTTTTTTTTTAATAATTTATCGCCAATCAAAGAATTATCAATGATTCCTCCCATATTTTTGAAATCAATAGAATGAAGGAGAATTACTAATGGTTATTTCCAAAGATTTTCTTTTGAAGCACACCAAATTCCATGAGTTGGTCCTAAGCTATTGCGAGGTGTTTTTATTTTCAGGAGTCATCTACTCTAACATATGAAATTCTTAAATACCCTATTACAGCATGCATGGTTCAAGTTATATGCTATTGATCCTTATGATGGGTCATCTGATTTTTATGAACATATTGATCATTATATAACTATCATGCATATACAGTGTGCTTCATAACACACTTCTTTGCCAAATTTTCCATGCTACCCTTAAGGGTCTAACTCATATATGATTTTATGCTCTCCCAAGAAGTATAATCCAAAATTTCACTTATCTTACAAAGTTTTTTTTTTTAAATAATTTATCGCCAATCAAAGAATTATCAATGATTCCTCCCATATTTTTGAAATCAATAGAATGAAGGAGAATTACTAATGGTTATTTTCAAATATTTTCTTTTGAAGCACACCAAATTCCATGAGTTGGTCCTAAGCTATTGCGAGGTGTTTTTTTTTGGAGGACTACGCCATGGACCATTTTACTCTTTATTAATGCAGGAAATCGTTCACTCTTACGTTGACCTAATTCACAAAGTATAAACTTAAATTAATGCTGATGAGTCTATCAATGCTAATAAAAAAAATTAAGAAACCATGGAATACAAGAAAGAATGAACACGAATGTGAAGCTTAAAAATCTAAAAAAAGAAATCAGGACCTTTCACCTCGACCCCCTAAGCAAAACCATAAATATATGATGAAGAAGGAATATACTCCATTAAATACATTGTGATTTAACATTCTCATGGTTATAAAAAATGAAAGAACTATTAAATGGCCTAATATGTTGAAGCCAAACACTGGCAATCATGATTATTATTGTCACTTTTATCAAAGATGAGGATATACTACAAAGCTTGATTGCAGTTGAAAGAAGAAATTGAATGGTTAATTCAACAGGAATATCTTCATCAATTCACCAAAAATCCACCTTCTCGAAATGAAAAAATCATGGTAGGGGTCATAATCAACATCAACAACAAGCTAACTGCGCACCAAATAATCAGAGAAATTGAAACCTTTATCGAAGGACCCTTATTGTCTTCTCAAGTTCTCCTCACCACCCCAGAGGAGCCAACATTGAGGAAGACTAGAGCTGATCATTCCATCATATTTAATGATTCTGACTTGGAAGGGATCCATACTACAAATCAAGACTCGCTTATCATCAGTGCCGGTATTGGAGATCCATGTTGTAATGTCAAAAGAATCTTAATTGATAATAGGAGCTCAGTTGATATTCTATTTTACTAAACTTTTCTTAGTATGAGTCTGGTCAGAGAGAAACTTTAACCTGCTGATAAACATTTGAATGGATTTGACAACTGTCTGTTGTGGGTGGAGGGGACAATTACTCTCCCTATCACACTTGGAGAATTCCCTTGGTAGGTTACTCACTCAGTTCAATTTATTATTGTCAAATCAAAATCAATATACAATGCCATATTTAGGAGACCCCTACAATTAATCTTGGAGCTATCGCTTCTTTGCCCCATATAAAAAGTAAAATTTTAACTCTAATTGAGATTCGCGAAGTACATCAAAATCAACAAGTTGCTCAAACTTGCTACCTTGGACAAGCTCAACCACGCCCATCTGTCTTTCGGTATATTAAAAATTTTGATTTATGGAATAAAGGCATAGTTCAAAGAGCCTCCACTATAGATAACCTTTACAGGCATGGATCATGGGCTAAAATTTAAGTGAGCTATAAGGCTTAAAAAGAATTTCTGAGCTCCACCTCGACACCATGGCCATCATTCACAAGTATTATGAGTAGCTTATATTAAAATTATATATCCTATATGCTTTGATTATTATGGAACCCTTATATCTCCAGGCTATCCAAAATTAAATTTAGGATCATCCAAACTCGGAGTTTACCAAATTTGTAGTCAAATTGAATATCTCAAAGAGATGAACCGACGACACCAAATTCAGCCCAATCTGAGCCCAAATGAGTCCAAATCAAGGGACCAAAGCATATTTGGACACTTTGGAGCATCAATTGAATCATCAAATGACTTCAAAATATGACATGCTTATAATCAAATCGAGTAGCTTGGAGAGAAGAATCCAACGAGCCCAAAATCGTTGAATTCTGAAACCATTAAGAAACTAAAATACTTAATAAATGCTTTATGGTCAAAGGAACCGCTATGACCATTCTGATTGAACACTCTCAGCTTGCCCTTGATCTTCGCACTATTTACAAGTCACGCTACTCTAAAAAGAACTATAAATAGGCTCTCCATTCTTCACATGAGAGTAGGAAGGAAAAAAAATTAAGAAATTTGAGAGCTCTTTTGCCGCCCACCACCGCCGGAGCTCTTCTCAACCACCTCCAAAGGTACTCCCGACCTCCGCGGAGTTCTTCCAGACTAACGCCGGAGTTCTTTTCAACCATTGTCGGAGTTCTTCTCAACCACCACCAAAGTTCTTCTCAACCACCACCAAAGTTCTTCTCTTCCCGATCACTATCCACCAACAAACTTTCGCCCGTTTATCTGTCAACCATTCAAGATCATAAGCGCT